CTTTGAATAAATCTAAAAATCAAAGCATTCGGGGAGAAGTTGAAGTTGACTGAAAACTCACATACCTTATTCATGATGATTTGAGAACAATATAATTTTAACAAGTTTCACCTCAAATAATTTTCATATCTTGAAAAACTACCAGGAGCACAACAGGAGAACGTGGATTGTTAATTGTATAGAAGATGCAAAAATGCATTGAAGACATTAAACTCGGCTGTTATATATACAGGGAGTGCACATTTTGTGTGCGCAAGTCACGTGCACATTGTGTTCGTGCGAATCAAGTGCGTGTCTTGTGTCTGATTATCGATTTTTCATTTTGACAAAGATACGTTAATATGCACCAATTGTTTGAAAATTCTCGAAGAAAACTAGAAAATATGCTACAATCAATAATTTATAGTAGCAAAATCACAAGATTAATTGAAATTTTACCATATATTAAAAATTGGCATGCCTCAAAAAGCAAAAGCATGTTAATTTTTACTTAAAAAAGCAAAAACATGGTACCCTAAATTTTAATGATTTGTCAGAATAGTGGACATTTTAAAAAGCAAAAACATGTTAATTGTTACTTAAAAACACAAAATTAATTTCTGGAATGTGCAAGTTAACAAAGTTTTGAACAATTTCTATCCTTGATGAGATGTGACAAATGACATGAATCAACATAATAAGATTTTAAATATGTAATATGATATCCACTTAACTGAACTTCATATCACATGGATATGATCCCTAATGGGTACATACAACATTACTCAAATTTTGTATATACATAATTTTAGCACGTACTTGGACTGATTTCAGTTCACTTTCCAATTTTTCAGGCTCAGCCACCGGTATGTCTAGTTTATATAACATTGGTAAAGAGAGGTCACCAAATACAGCACGATACGAATACCAGAGCTTCGAATAACAAGATGGACATGCCAAGAGATGCAAGTATATAACACCCGCATCTTAAACGTCTTAAGTTCAAATATTCACGCACCAAGTCAACTAAATATTACTCGAAAAACAATCCGAAGATCAAACCAGTGACAAGAACACCTCAAAGCTGAAATGGCTCCCGGATATATATTTTACTTTGTGAATTTACACAGAAGTGGTTATACATCACATGACAAGAAAGTTGCCTTGTGCTGATGATGCAAAACCAAGTATATCAATTTGGCTATGGTTTAAGGAGAAACCATATTTAGTCGCTAGAAACAAAAGCAAGGTTCCAAATGATGATCCTGACTAGGTCACAAACAGGAATTTCATATCAGCCTCTGTTAGTTTAGCCAAAGCCTCTGAAGAGCCACCCACAGTCCTGTAATAGAACAACTAAGAAAATGAGAAACAGTGCCAAGAGATGAAAATTACACCTCTTCCAGGATTAAGTTTGCGTGATAAGATAAAATTGGTGAGTCACGGGGAAGAAGAATAAAAGTTGTCTATTTTCCTTTATGAATGAATTTAGAGCATGTTTGGCTAAGCTTAGCAATAAGTAGAAGTTACTTTCAAGTTCATTTCAAAAAAACTTCGGAATACACTGCTTTTTCTTTTTTTCTTTCAAATTTGACCATTATAAGAATTACTCACTCACTTAAAAGTGAACTTTTTTCAGCATAACAAAACATGCTCTTATAATGATTTCTTCCACTGCCAATAGCACATCTAGACAGGGATTTAAATAAGGCATATTTGGAGAGCGGATTAACGGAGTTATATTGGAGTACGAAATTCTCTATTTGTATTTTATGATGTAGGAAACTTATGATACAATCTTCAAACACCATTTGAAGCTCGTAAGAGAGTAACTCACCCTTCAAATACTAATTCCTTCTTCTCCTGCAACTTCAAAATTCTCTCCTCAACTGTGTTTTCAATGATAAACCTCACAATCCTATTAATGAACAAAACAAATATTACTAAAAGCTTAAGGTCTTATCAAATAATAATCAGAAAGAGATCAGAGAATGCACAATTACCTGATTGGTTTGTATTGTCCTATTCGATGTATTCTATCCTGAGCTTGCCGTTCCACAGCAGGATTCCACCAAGGATCCATCAAGAAAACCTAGCAAGGTCCAACAATGAAAGCACTAGTTAAAGATGGTGCCATTTTCATTGTTACTGTTCTGGCTGTTAAAATTAGATCCGCTTGTCTAGGACTCGATCTTAGTACTAATCCATAACGATCAAAGTCGAATCTCATAATCAAGAACAGCTCGTGAATTCCTTCATTTCAGACTTCTAAAAGTGAAAAAAGCTCGCACATTGGAGAAAAAGAAGGGAAAGTGGGGGCTTATTCATTTCCTCCTCTAGTTCTCTTGCCAATATAACTTAAGTTAGAAGGTATTACTTGAATGAAGATGTAAATACAAGGCAAAGAAGAATATATAAACATCTCAAACCATCGTGGCATTAAAATAACACAATAAACAGCTAATTAACCACGAAAGGGGTCCATACATTTGATGCCACTGTAAGATTGAGTGCAACACCTCCTGCTTTCAAGCTCATAAGAAATATTCTGCAATCAGGATCCTCGGTAAATTTTTTGATAGCAGTATCTCTTGCTCCTAGGGACATAGACCCGTCTAACTGAACACAGTTCACTCCTGACTGCAAAGAAACACATAAATCTAGTTTTCTCTCTTTGATACAAGAGTGACAACAAAACCAAACTAACACATGCCATACCTTCTCAAGGGAGTAATGTATGAGATCCAGAAAGGATGTGAATTGGCTGAAGACAATTCCCTTTGCAGAACCATCCCTTTCAACCATGTTTCTGATTTCCTCTCTCTGAAATTAATTAACTCAGAATGAGCAAATACAGTGAAAGGATATCGTTATCAACATACCTTAAGAGCGAAAGGATATTGTCATCTCCCAACAAATTTATAACAGTGATCTTTTTAAGTAGAACTACCTAAGCCCCCGATTGGCCCCCATTCTCCTCCTCATTCTTTTTCTCTCTCTTATTTTCAATCACACAATCTTCCATAAAATGATATTACACGCAAATCAAAAACTTTTCATTCTTTTTCAACCACACATTTTAAAAAAAAAACACTATTCCAAGCATTAAAATTTGGACGGAATGGGGGTCAAACGGGGGCTAAAATCATCTAGATAACTACTATTATATCTACATTTAATTTATCATGTAACCTTCAAGTCCTATTGTCTGATTTTTTCAAGTTTGGGAAGCGGGATGGATAGGAGGGTTAGTGTCCTCCAGAAACAGATGGAATAACAATTGCCTTTATTCCAGGCAAAATGACTGCAACTCTGATAGAAATACTTCCCTCGTTTGCTAAGAAAGATTTCAGGAATGTACAAAATACTAGATTAGCAATCTGTGATCAGGCATAAGAGATCCTAGAAGCACGGAGGGGAGATTCACTTGATCTGGTAGAAGGTGTGAGTTGATAGTGGGATGGAGAAGATTAACATAGACAATATGTAGCTAGCTACTGAGACGTAGAGAGAACAAAAGAGAGACAGAGATCATCAAGGCTTCATCCAGTTAGTGTCATGATACGTACTACTTAAACCGCCTAACCAAGGATAGCACCTCCTCCATCCACCAGTAAGTAAAAGGAACTTCTCCTTATTTTTAGTTTTGTCTTTCTATTTGCAAATTGTTTCCTCTTAATTTTCCTTTATTTTTTTCTTTTTTCTTTTTTTCTTTTCTTTTTTATTTTTTTTTTGGGAGAGGGGGTTCAAGCTTTACATACCAAAGCATCTATTTTGGTGCTTGTCTGAAAATCATTGAGCTGAATTCTATTCAAAATACTAGAGGACCTGAACCCTCTAATGGTGGTTCTTGCATTCTGCTCCTTACTATCCTTGTTGGCAGTGAAATCAACAGTAAGTGGCTTTGAACATAACGGGCAGGAGGCCTGTCCCTTGCTAGCAGAATAATCAATCAAACACGATTTGCAGAAGACATGTGCACATGATGTCACCTGAAGCAATGACAAAATACATATTGGAAAAGAGAAATAAAAATAACCAAAAAAATTGATAAAACAAGACAAGATCTTGTGATGGTCCAGGACTAAAGCAGACCAGCACTGAGCTCAGAAATAAATTAAATCTTAGCAAACTAATAAAATAACTAGACGATAAACTGCAGAAATACATATAAAAAGGATGCTTGATCATTTTCTCGATATATTAGTAACTCAGAGCAAACTTGATAACCACTACCTAGAAAATGACCAAAAGAGTATAGGTTATCTTGAATAATTAAAGAAAATTATCTGTCTGATTAAGCAATACGTTACTCAAAGACCCACTAGCATTTAAGGTCATACTCATACATGGGAAAACTTGGCCTAGACAAAAAGATGTCAAACCAAGTTGTGCAATGCATACCCAGAAACTTCATACCGATGTCCACCCCCCCATATCAAAGGCAATATCAACAGACAAGTTCACGTGATGCACAAAAGGAAGCGGACATAAATATATATCTGGTGTGTTCAAAATTCAACCATCCAATTAAAGATAATCCAAAAGCGGAAGAATTATAGTTCACCATTGTCTATACAACAATTTGAAATAAGCATCTACAAATGGAAATTTAGAAGATTTTTAAACAATAAATATAACACTTCAGTCATAATATTTGGCCTGGGTCTCTACCACATAGAAGGACCAAAGATAACAAATAGAATACATTAACAACTTACAACAGGATCTTCTACAAGATCGTGACACAAGCTACATTGTTCACCATTGCTAGTATCAACTGCTTTACCCTTTCTTTCCATTGCAGTAAGAGAATATTCCACAAGGTAAGGATGATCAACTGCCTGTCATAGTAAGATAGATCAATCAGACATTGGCACATTAAGCCCCCGTTTGTTTCCCATTATTTTTCCATTAAAATGAAAAATACGACCGTTATTCATCACATCAAGCCACCATATTTGACTTTATATCTCTTGTGTGAAACCCTTAACGGCTATATTTTTCATTCTCATTTTTACATTAATGTGTATCAAACAGGGCCTAAAACAAGCAAGTGTTTGATTCGCGAAACCTCAACCATATTAGCCAGATACCAATCCAGAAGCTGGGTAGATATACTAATCATATCTAGATTTAGCTAACGCTAGTATTGCTACTTGCTTCAACAAGCCAAATTGCATATGACGTCACAACAAGTTCAAATATGCAGCTCTTTCAAAAAACAATCATTATAAAGTGAATAAATCAACATCATTCCTAGTCCAATCGGCATTTCTAAGTCACATAACAATAAATGTGCAGAAATGAAACCATGTGCACAAAACAGTACTTTACTAGGTAAGGAACCATCATTTTCAAAATGCATAAGAAGACAACAATTATGGCATTAATCAACAAGGGAATGGGATTTGTCTCTATAATGGATGGTACCAAAGATTTAAATAAAACCCAAAAGTATAAATACAATATAATATTAAATATTCTGTTGAAGCTGATACTGTTTACATGAACAAAGTAGGCAGTATTTCCATCATGAGAAGATAGGATTTCAATAAAATACCTTTGAAATTACTCACTATGTCCTCTCCTAGTAGATAACATGCGAAAGAATTGAAGTTAAGAAGAGAGATCTTTTAAATCAATGCATACCATGTGCCATCTAATATTTTTTAGGTAATAACAACTCCTGAATACTGATAATGGACTTACACATTAGTTTTCCTGTATATATACAGTAAGCGTCAAGAAAATAGTATCCATAGCAATTTATTTCTTCCAGAAGCAAAACACTTGATGAATAACCCACTAATAGTTGCAAAATTATACTTGTCTTTTGTCTTGAGCAAAATTTCTTTGAAAAAATAATTTGCAAACACAAATAATTGCGTGTGCTTATAACATTCCTTCTCATCTTCAAAAAAATATGAACTCCAGGAATGCATTTAACAATAAAAAATATCAAGATCGCAATAGAGCAGAAGAACCTATAACCTGTCGTAGGCGCGTCAGAAGATCAAATATGTGAGCATAGTTATTCATCACAGTCCCTGCCTCAACAAATCTGCAGATAGAAAAGTACATTGATAAACAAGAATGAACCCTATAAACAATAAAATTCTTACATTCTCAGCCAAAAAGTCAAGACCTCTAATGTTAAAATGGTAATTTAACAACAGATGAAGCAAAAAGGAAAAGGTAAAATGAATTCACAGCACACTTCATAACCGAGTGTTCATATGCAATTAAGCATCGTAGCAAAGACATATAGACATACAGCATATGAAGGCCTCAATTTTTAATCCCTAAAAGGAAACAAAACATAAACCAATAACTCAGGAAGATGCAGCAGAAGAGGTCAAAACATCAGCCATACAAGACTTTGAAACTTCAGGAGAACATCATTCAAATACAAGTGATTCGGAAGCGGGAAACAGCAACAATCATTGAACAAAATTAACTTGAAAAAGGCCAAAACATACAACATAAACCAGTCATTTGCTAAAAAAGAGGCACCTATAAACTTAATGGACAAATTTTGTGATAGGCCAAATGCCAAATGGAATAACCATTTAAGTGCTTTAAAAGAGTCAAAGCAGTGGAGAGCTGCAAACCAGAGACTGCCCAAAAAGTCAACCCTCAAAACTTCAATTAAACAAGTCAAAAAAGCAGAGATGAATAATAGATGACATACGTATTAAACTGTGCCTGGCTCTCATTGTACATTGCTGTATAATAATCATCTTCTCTAATATCCAGAGTGTGCCTCCTCAAGTTAACCTGAATTACAATTAAGAGATCAACTAAACAAAACAAACTTCTGAACAGATGAACTATTCTAGCCTCAAAAACATACAATTCTAGGAGGAAGTGCAAGATCAGCAGCCCTGCCCTTTTTGGTACGTCTCAACACTATGCTTTTCAATATCTTGTGCTTCAACAAAATCATAGCATCCCTACCAGGCCCAGAATTTCCATAATTCTGTATTGGTGTTGATACATACTGAAAAAAGAAAGATATCACAGCCTCACTATCTCAGCACACCATGTACACTAAAAATAACCGGAGAACAGAAAGTAGCAAGTATAGAATTAGCAACTCACTCTGTTCCACCAGCAAAAGTGTCGTACAGCTTTATGAGGGCAGTGCGGGCAATCTGTCGAGGTACTGTACTCATAAACAAGGTTTAAAAATACATTATTGGTGATGGAATATGCTAGGACATGATATAAAGTTAAAATCAAACAAATTTAAGGTATCAAATTTACTAAAGTTAGAAGTCCACGTTGGTGATTTGATGACAACCATTACTAATCAACTCGACAAGTAGAGTCTGATATATAGCAGTGCGGATAGTAGTTATAAAATAACATGAGTCAGTAAAATGGAGGATCTTCATGTAATGTTCAGGTTCACTCTAAGACAGCATAGAATAACCCGTTTGTTGCATAAAGCTGATAAATACCAATGTTATACTTTCATGGAGCATGAAATATAAAGAGAATACATTAAAAATTTAACTGAAGGCTGCATTTAGCAAAAAGAGGAGCGAACAGAGCTAACCAAAACTATTTCTTTTTCCACGGACAGCAAGGAACAAGAAATAAAGAGTGCATACAGCACAAGTCCCAGCTGTGAGGAGCTAGCAAATAATATTGCTCTTTGCACAACATAATTATAAGTTATCCAGCAAGTTGCCGTATTTGTGGATTTACTGGGAGGCATACTAACAAATTTCAAATAATTCAACTTCATACTTGTAAAAGCAGGTCTGTTGTTTCATTCCCCAGATTTTTTCTTTTTCTCTTTGGGTTTGGGAGATGGGTTCACAGGGTGAATAATTTCCAAATGGAAACGCTTCAATTGTACCTATAATCTAGTGAACGGCAATCACAGTCCTTGCAGAAGTAATAAGAGTAAGGAACTATCTGCAGAAAGCGAACCTGCATGAATGCAAAGTATCTTTTGTGAGATCTAAATATAATGTTGCACGAACAAACTAATCTACTGTCAGAATAACTTACGAGTGAGTAGAGCTCTCCAACACGATTCTGGAGGGGAGTGCCACTTAAAGCCCACTTATATGAAGATTGTAAAGCAAGAACTGCTCTGGTTGTATTACTGCGTCTGTCTTTTATAAAATGAGCCTGTGTCAGAGAGAAAGATTTAGACTGGTGTTTTTTAGGAGGGCAGAAGACTGGAAGAGCCAAAAACTCATTCAAAAGCCTTACATGCAGAATGAGCAAATGAATAAGTACAGCCACTGATGTAGACTTGTTAGAAAAAATAATAACACCACCATAGAAGCATATGGAGAGAGAGAGAGAGAGCACTTAAGAACAACAAATATAAATTTTAAAAATTTAAGATTAATGGACCACGAAGATGAACTAGAAGATTCAACTCAGAGATGGTTCACTAGCATACTAACACATGGCATCCAATCACCAATCCGCTATTTCTATATGCTGGATCATTTGTGTGTCTATGAAATAGGTCAATAGTGCAATGATATTTATAATAAAGAAGGCACTTAACATTCTGACTCATAGATGATCAACATTCTGACTCATAGATGATCACCATAGTCCATTAAGATTTAATGAAAAAGCAAAATGCAGGGCAAATTAACAGGTTTATCCTAAATGCTTCACTTGATAGGTTCAAGCCTCAGCCACAAGGCTATAATGCATGATGGAAAAATCAAAAAGACTGTAGCACGAAACTCTTTACCGGCAATTGTCCTAACAAATTTTTGTGTATTATTAATAATTTGGCAACTCAAAAGGAAATACATAACGAGCAAGGTAAGCAGGAGTTGACAGCTGAGGCATCCAACATGAAGTGAAGGGGCAGTTAAATGGAAGTACCCAATGATAGAGAATTCAAGGGATCCATTCAGTGATCTTAAGGCCCCGTTTGGTAGCCATTTTTTAAAATGCATTTTTCTCACTCTTCTTTTCAACCATACATTTTTTACTAAAATAATATTACACGTAATTCAAAAACTTTTCCTTATTTTTCAACCAAATATTTCACATCAATTTACTATTCTAAAATGCATTTTTACATAAAAATGCCTATCAAACACCACCTAAATAAAAAGTATGAAAATTAAATGAATAAAGGAATCTTTCGATGTAAAAAGATCCCACAAGAAACAAATCTACAAATTGCTTCACATTTGATCCTATTTAAAAGCATACACCGTAAGGGACTCTTTGAATTAAAATACAAAAAAGTTTTAAGAACCAACAAACCTAATAGCTCACCTCATCCAAAATGATACGATTCCATTCCACAGAGTGTAGTATAGATTTGCCTAAAGGCAAGAATTGCCCAGATGGAGCTGAAGTTTCAATTAAACCACCATTTCCCATGTCCTTCTCGCCATCATTATGCTTCCTATCTTTCTTGGGATTTCTCTTCTTAGTTACAACCACAGAGTCAGATGTTTTCTTCTGCTTGTAATCCTTCCTCTTCTGCTTCGACTGCTTATCAGTCCTTTCAGCACCAGGTCCACAAAAGTATTTCAAGTGAATTTTCAGCTTGTGATCATAGAATAGTTTTCCACACCACTGGCATTTTTCTTTGGGTGGCATCATATACTTCCTGTAATCAGCCTCCACAATTGAATATGTAGTTATAACAAAGTCATACTCAGAAAACTGATAAATATTCCTTTCTCTGTTGGCTCCATGATAAACAAGCACCTTTGTGCTTCCTTTTGAAGTGAAACGTTCTATCTCACTAACCCATTGCATCACAGCCACAACGGGACATATAACAAGTGTTCCTTTAATTATTGGAAACTTTGTGGTGGATGAGGTAGAAGATGAAGGTAATTCGTTCCCAAAGGCTGCTCGACTGATTTCTCGTTTAGCAAGAACAAGTGATATTGCCTGGACAGTCTTTCCCATCCCCATCTCATCTGCAAGAATGCCTCCTCTGATTATAGATTCTTCTTGCTTCAAAGACCAAGCTAACCATTCTTTCTGGTACCTCAGAAGTGGCATTATCAATTCAGATGGAGGATCAACAGTTTCAGCCACCATGTCATTCTGATTACTCAAGTCAATGTCTTTTGCCAAATTTTCTGCCACCCACCTCTCATTCTCTTGTTCCAGTACTTCCCACATTAATATGGGTCTATCCTCTTTCTTCTTCTTACTCTTCTTCTTTCTCACTTCCCGCATATCTTCAACAACTCCAGAAAAATCGAACCCCAACATATTCCCCTCAACTTCTTCCCGAATAATCCTATCAGTATCCCTTTCTCCCTCTTCTTCCATGCCACCATTCTCTACTTCATGGCTCTGTTCTCCCCTCTTCTTCGAAGAGTCTCTTTTCATCCTCTTTGAAACACTGGGCACACCAAAATCATCATCACCAATTTCCATTACAGCCTCTTTTTCTGAGTCTTCATTACTTAATGCATTATAATCGGCATCCAAATCTATCATACCAGGATCATCATCAGAGACATCTATGTATTCGGGATTCATGTTCCCTGCGATCACTTCCACTGTCAAATTTAATACACAACACGATAATTAATATACACACGAATAAGCATATAACTGCAGTAAATATACAGATAAGAAACAGTCTGAAGATAAAATTAATAAAAAGATACAAGAAAAAGGATACGTTTTTTATGAAATGGAGCATCTAAGGCTACAAAGAGATAAAGAAGAAATAAAAAGGAATAGTACCTTTGGAAGAAGAAGCGCCATCACCACGAGTGCGAAGCTTCATTGTTGATATGAAGTAAAATGGGGAAAAACACAATAAAATTAGGGTTTTTCCTTGTGCTGAAAAGGTGAAGATGGAGAGGGCATAAGTTTTGTCTCTCTCGAAATGGTTATAGAGAGATTAGAAACATAGCGTAGCGACTAGGAAATATTGAATTAGAGGTAACTAATCTATTGCATGTATATCAAATAGATCATCTACCTTTTTCCTTGATATTTAGTTTTCTAAATTTTTAGATTTTGTTAGAAGTGGGTACAGTTTGGTTCAATCCAGTTAGGTCCGATTCTGAAGGGAACCAAATCAAATACTAATGAAAATCTTAAAAATGGAATCATTGGTTCCATATTCAATTATAAAACCAAACCGAAATAGAACCAATCGATTCCAATTCAATCCGATTCTTTATATTGAAAAATTATAAAAAGTGAAAATCACACCCATCCACATATTTTGAGATGCAACTCCAAAAATCAAATCCAAAGTTTGTATACTCAAAAATCATATTATAATTAGAAATTTTAATGTTAATAATAATATTATAAAATTAATTTAATTTACATACCTACGTTACCTCCATCCACCAAACCCTGATTAATTTTCATCCCTTCCTTCTCTCTCTTCATCTCTCTCCCTTCTCTCTTTTTTTTCTTTCATCGCACCGAACCACGATCAGTGGCGACATCGCACAGGTCATTATTGCACGTGACCGCAGTAAAACACTGTTGTTGCGAACAAGATCTAGCCCATTTTTTGAACCCTTACCCCATTTGTAGCTGCTTCGAAACACAAACACAAATCATAGAAGTGAGCGACGGTGTCATCCCGTGTTCAAGGATCTGAGAGTGACGATGTTAGCTTCGGCATCATGACACAGCAACTTTGGGTGGTTTTCATGCTTTCGTGGTTTTTCAGCAACGACGATGTCATCTCCGACCTGATTAGATCTATTTTGTTGTGATTTTCGCGTTGCCTCATAGTGGTGATGAGGTAAGGCAACGGTGGTGAATCTGCTTGGGGGTGGGGTGGTGGTGATGGTGGTCGTGCTTGCAGTCACAGTAATGGTAGTGGTAGTTTTGGATATGATTTTTTGGATTTAAATTTTGGTTGTGTTTGGGTAGAGGTGGTCGCGATTTGATTGTGGTGGTGAGGTTGTGGTAATGTTGGCAATGCTGGTGAGATGGTGGTTATGTTGGTGGTGGTCGTGCGGTGGTTGTGGGTGGGATGGAGTGGGTGAGGTGTTTGTGACTAATTATTTGGTGGACTGTGACCAATAATTATTTGGTAAACTGAAGCGATGTATGGTGGTGTTTTTATGCAATGTGTTGACTTGTTTGAGGCAGCGGCGGCGGCGGTTTTGACGGTGACAGTTGCCGTGGTGTTGTTGGAGGCAGCTTGTGAGGTGGTAGTTGCAAATGTTGATGGTGATCTCAAATTATTTAGTTGATTTTGACCATTAAATTGGTTAATCTGTGACCAATAAATAATATGTGATTAATGAAAAAGATAAAATTTGACAAAAAAACATAGTGATTTAAAAAATTGTTAATTTGTGATCGATAATTTGATAATTTGTGACTGTATAATAAGTTGTAACTTATAATATTTGTAATTTGTGACCAATTAATAAATTGTGATTTATAAATTTTTGTTTTGTGATCAATAAATTAATTATGACCAATAAAATTTTTGAATTGTAAACATAAAATAATTTATGACAAATAAAATTTTGATTTGTGACTGAAAAAATAATATTTTACTAACTAAATCGTTAATTTGTCACCAAATTGTATAGATCTATGACCTTAATATATTTAATTAATAAAATATATAATTAATTAATTAAATCATAAATAAATATCTGATTTTTGAAATTTGTAAACATTGTTCTTAATTTTGAAATGGGTGATATTTAGCCTCTTAGTTTTGAATTTTTCCCTTATAAAAATGAAGTATGAAACTACTTGTCATTTGAAGGAAAAGACAAAAATAAAGTATGAAACCACTTGTGTTATTTTTAATTTAACAACGCAAAAAATCAATTGAAAAAGGCAACAAACAAAAATTCAATCCAAAACTCAAAATCAACTCGTAAATGGGAAATAAAATTATTAAACATAGCATAAACGGTTAAATCTCTATTGAAAAATAGTTTTTAAGAAAATTTGTACAACAATAATCTGATTATTTTTAGTAATCCTCAAGGACCTTGATTCTTGATGACCAATCACTTTGGAAACAATGAAAGGTACGAATTCTTATTACATAATGAACTAAAAATATATTTTCCCTATTGGGTTGCATTGAAATTGTAAAAAAATCGAAACCAAACTGACCAATTCTATTTGATTCAGTCCAGATTTGAGAAAAGTGCCCACCCCTAGATTTTGTAACACCCAAGTCTCTATTGACGTTTTTTCTCGTCCACGTAATCAACAAAGGTCAATTGAAAATTTGAATAATTTAAAAATGATTTTTCCTCTTAAAAAATAGTCGCATGTTTCTATTCTCCCAATAAATGGCCCTATACCAAAGTCACTTGTTTAAATACCATGTCTATTATTTTCGCATCTTTTACTTGTGAAGGCATTCAATTTTTTAATTACGATTTTTTGAACCTTTTTAATATCAAATAGAATGCAATCAAAACCATAGGACTCCACGTAAATTTTTTCACACGAATAATACATTACTTGGCATACGAAGTGGTAGACAGCTTTGATCATAAACGCATGAAATAAACATGACAATTGTCAAAGCTTGCCACATAATTATAAGTCCAATTTAGTATTGTCTCAATAAACTATTAATACTTGAATTATAGCATAGTCGTGTGTAATTAATACAAAACAACGCTATCAAGACATTGGGGTGGTACAAATTATTTTACTGGCTCAAGAGAGCCAAATTACATAACAATGCTTAACAAAATATCATTTTTGGTTCAAGTTGTAAAATACCAAAAGATCTACATTTAAGCTCATACCCGATTGATTAACCTGAAGCATCAATATTTAACTAAATAAGATCATGATAACAACGTTCAATTCGTATAATACCCAGTTGAGTGACGTTATCTCCAAGTAGTTTTGTTGGGTTATCTGATGAGATATATTCAGAATCTATTCAATCATGCTTTATTAGTCATTGTTCGTCCAACATTATATATTTTGTCGAAACTGACTACTAAATTGATTGCCAAATAGCTTGTGACATGAACCATACCAGTTTCCATCTAATCATCTTTAACAATTTCTCTTCTTCATTTTTTCTTTTGAGTTCTACATAATTGTTGATGGCTCATATTTTATTTATTTAAAATTCTAGGATAGTCTCCATATTCGATTACTTATCATGAATTTTGCAAAGGAAAAACTTATAGTGGATTGATGGGAGACTAAGGGAGAAGAGACAAGGGACTATGACAGGTCTGGAGAATAGGTTGCGAGACGTTTGGGATAATAATTTGAGGGATGTGGCTATAAGTAATCTAGTTGGGGTGCAGGTGTGGGACTTACATGTTACAAATATAAAGAGTGGTGACGTAAATTCAGAAAAAAATAGTTAGAGAGTATCTGATATTTAGGCCATAATCTAGGACCTTCAATGCATATTTTAGTGGGAAAGGAAATTTCGCGGCGAGAATGACATGTTTGTCCATTTTATAGTGTTGCCAGTGGGAATTGTTAATGCGGAGTCGCCAGAAGATAAACGGCAAATAACAATTATTCCCATATTTTTATTTTTTTTAAACACAAAATATAAAAGTCCACTTGCATCTAACTTAATTTTTTTTTTTTATCACATCGCACAAGAGTAAAATAATTATTAAACGAGTGTATTTAATTGGTACTTTTAAAACTTCTTGAAATTTAAATGGTTCAGGGATATTTTATTTAGGCTTTTTGAGACTCTAATAAAGTATTAACATATTTAATCGAGATTTTTATAGAGTTTTAAAAAGTTTTTAAAAGTTGCGGTATATTCAATTAAAACTTTTTAGAATTCTCTATAAGTTTTAGGGTATTCAAATTGTTAATGACTTTACAAAGTTTCCATAAAACTAACTTTTAAACAAAAAAATACAAAATAAAATCTTGAAAATGAAGTATAAATAGAAGCCTAAGACTTGACCTTCAACCTACAAAAATTGGGGAAATTTTGAATTTTAATCAAAGCTTTGAAAGTTTATGTAAAAGGCAATAACCTCTATACACTACCCAAAAAAAAAAGGCCTCCAGCGACCAACGAAATTGGTCTTTAAAGGTACTTTTTTGGTCCTTAAAGATTTTTAGCGACCAAAAATCTGTGGTCGTTGCATGGTCGCTAATTCACCGTCTGTGTAAACCTTTAGCGACCAAAAAAAGTGGTCGCTAAATGATATTCCTTCAGCAACCACCAAATGGTCGGTAAAAAGGCTTGGTTTGGAGTAACAAGTTGGTTAACTTTCATCCTTTCGCAACCAAATGTTGGTCGATAAATGAAATGGTAAAAATGAAAAACCACATTTCAACAACCACGCAATGGTCAATAAAGGGCTCGATTTGAGGTAAAAAGTTGGTTAATTTGTATTCTCTTGCGACCAAATGTTGGTTGCTAAAACGATAGTAAAAAAAATTATCAATGTCTCAGCTACCAATTTTTGGTCGGTAAAGATGCAACATTAGTAACCAATATTTAGTTGTTATAACCCATTAATAATTTTTCAATTACTAGATATAAAAAAGAATGCACAAGAGAAAATAACAAAATTAAAGAAATTCACAATATACAAAACCGAGTACAAAAGGTAATTGTACTTGCACATAAAATAATTATTAATAGTCATTACATAAATTTAAATATCCTATATATAACCACAAAATGTGTCATGCACCTTAATATCTTAGTTACAAATGTATCCTAGACTTTTAGTACAAACGGGGTATAGACTAAACGAAAAATGAGTTCTAGACTAGGAAATTGTGAGGAATGAACTTCACCATTGCCAGCTCCAATCACAAACAAATCAAACTCCTTTTGAGTCTCCTACCCACCAGCAATGCCTAGCTTCCCATCAAAAAGCATCTTCATTGTCATGATGTTATGCTATACATAAACAAAAATCCACAAGCAAGTAGTAAGAGATCAGCATATGATAACAAGCACTTTCACAACCAAGAAAATCGAAAAAAAATAAAAAAAATACCTGATCAAATGTAAATCGAGATAAACTAATTGCACAATTTTATAAGCAAAATGTTGTCGATTTTGGATAAAAGTAAATAAGAACAACCAATATAATAGTTTAATCTTACCTTTTTTTTATCAATGATTGCTTAAACTCAGGAAAGAGAGAAAAAAAAATAAGATTACCACCAATATAATAGTTTACTCTTTCCTTCTTTATCGTATGACCAGGTCGATAGCTCTTCATTTAACAATCCACCTGCACACAAGAAACACGTATCTAAAGTTTGGCATTCGTTTAAAATTTGGAAATCGCATAAGCCATTGCGAATGCATACCTATAGAAACTATTTTGTTGATTTTGTTTTCTCCTTTCCATTTGCGAGTTGGAACAATCTCGTATAGTTCCTTCACGGCTTGGCATAGTCAATAGACCATATCAGAAAGGAAAAACAATTGACTAACTAATTTTGCAAAACCAACTTCGTCCTATGGAGGATATTTACAAATGGTTACATTCGTATGAACAAACAGCCTTGTAACAACAAGATAAATATTTGTATGCATACTTGTCAACATAACATTATTTTACTATAAATAAATTAAGAAAACTAAGCTTTCCAAGGGATAACTATCCATTGGAATTCATTTTAGTGAAAGATACTAACTATATGATTGCAGTTTTTGATAAAAGACAAAGAATTTGGGTAAAATTATCGCTTCATATAGATATTAGTTACTAGAGAATTGAGATTCAATTGATATCGAAAAGAAAACAATTGATCAAGTCCTATAGAATAAACCAAACCCAATGAGTATAAAAACTTGAGATCTTCCACCAACTCTGAGATTTAAAATGTACATTATAATAAAATTATTACATCCTATAAATGATAAATCAGTATTTAGGCGCAAAGAATATTATACATGATCATTGATCACTTATTCTGTACTTTTTTGCATAGTGCCTATGGAATAGCAATCTCCATCTAAATCAATTAATTAATAAGAAGAAATCGGATAAATAAACATAATAAGCAAATTTGACCATTTTTACAGGATCCAATACTTTAAAATAATTTACAGGATCCAATAAGGAATATGTGAATCGTGAAGCAATTAAATCAATTATTCAACTTCTAAAAACTGTTATACGGGAAAGAGATGAAGCCAAAATTACCTCAACAGGCAACAGGAATATGTCTCTGCCTTTAACTTCTCCGGCAAAAGTTTTATCCGTGCTTCCTCAATCCACACGTTCAGGTCAATAGCCTGCTTGGCCACTTTTAAAACCTGGCGAATTGAATTCGAGTCTTGAAAAAAGACTGACAAAAAAATGAACCGAGTACTTCAGATTTTCGACGAGAGATTAATGGGAAATATGAATCGTCGTATAGGGAATAGACATAATTCTTTTGGTGAATAATGAAGATGATTACCAATTGAAGTCTAAGAGTCTAGAGAAAAAACACGTCTCTTGACTCTATCCCTTTCCTCCATTTTAAGGATACAATTCTTAAATGTTTCACTCTTCTTTTAAAACCCACGAGCTCCAACATGGCGTCATACTTCAATTTTAGCCGGACACTAGAAATACCGTAGAAGATGTAGAGCAGAAGCAGTACACACAAATAGAAACTTTGAGGGTTAGGGTAGGAGAGATTTGAGACTAAGTGGAGACTTTTTAATTGGGAGTTATATTGTGTTGGGTATAAGAATTGGGCCGACTTTGTAGATTATTTTTCTTTATTTCATCATTTAAAATTTTGAACTTTAACATTTAACTTAAATAAATAAACATAATATCAACATCAAATTTTGAAATTGAATTATCATCCTCTCTTCCGAAGGAAAATGAAGAGGAACCATAGCCCTCAAAATAGCACTACTCTAGTCTCTAGCCACCATCGTCGTCATTCCATGTTGTATTACTATTTATCTTTTTTCTTTGTAATTGAGATGCCGCGTTCTTGTTGAAAATGACCAATAGTGAAACTTGGGATAGATCATTTTGGTTTTGAATTATTGTAGTCCGTTCACATTGCTATTAACACAAATCGATTAGTTTATTTGTCTCATAATATGAAAAATAAAAGCATAAATTTTTCATATGAGCTTGTAAAAAAATTTAAAAAAAAAAATCGTCATTATTTGGCTATCATCTATAAATTATAGGTTATTAGCACAAACATCCATGCATTTGAAGTTCATTATGCAAAACATCCATTCCTTTCAAATTTTTTTTCGCATTTTCACCTCTATTTTTCACATTTTATTGCATAAATCATTATTTTCATTCAATTTCAATCTAGTTCACGTGGCGGCTTCTCGAATGACCACACAAATTTAGTAATATGTCATTTGAGTTCGATTTGGTTGAATTAGCATATATTGAGGCTAAACAGAAGAGGAGGATGGCAGGTTAAAGATAGATTTTATTCTTTATTTCTAAATTTTTAATAATTTACTTGGGACATGTTTGCACTTTTAAAAAAAAAGAATAAAAATAAATTGGGGTTATGGTTGCAATTAGTTCTTTGTTTTCTTTTCCTTTTCTTTTTGTTTTAATTAAATATGAGGGTATATTCGTCATTTTAACAGGTTTTATTAACAAATTGGATGAAAATGATGATTTCATGGTCATTCCTCTCTAGTTAATGTAAGTGAAGTAGTATTCTTGATTTACTGCTTTTATTATTTTCATATGTAACCACGGTATCCTTCGCCATAAGTAAGGGCAAATTAATAAAATTTCGTAGGTACCACCCTCTTTTAAATTAAAAAAATGTTCTAGCAAGCATATTATAGAGTATAGTATGGTCGATTATGGTCGCCAAAATCATATTCTGATCTGCAACCACGAAAGTTGGTCACTATAGAAGTTGAAAAAATAAGTGGGAATAATGGCGTCAAGTATTCCATCAGCCAAAAAATTTGGTTGTTGAAAGATATAGACCAGCGACCAATATATGGTCGCTAGAAACTTGTACTAAACAGCAACCAAACATTCTGGTTGCCATAGAAGTCAAAAAGTTGAAAAGAATAAACGGGAGTGATAGCGCCAAGTATTCCAGCAACCAAGTACATTTGGCTGTTGAGAGGCATACACTAGCAACCAATGTATGGTCGCTGAAACCTTGTACTAATCAACAACCAAACAATTTGGTCGCTGTAGTAGTCAAAATGTTGAAAAGAACAAGCGAGAGTGATGGCGCCAAGTGTTCCAGCGACCAACAAAATTTGATTGTTGAAAGGCATACACTAGCAACCAATATTTGGTCGCCAAAACCTTGGACTAATCAGGGACCAACGAATTTGGTCACTATAGAAGTCAAAACGTCGAAAAAAATAAGCGGGAATGATGGCGCCAAGTGTTCCAGTGACCAAATAAAATTTGGTTGCTGGAAGTTATATAACCAGCGACCATGATGTGGTCACTGGAACATTGTACTAATCAGCAACCATATTGTTTGGTCGCTGAAGAATCTAAAAAATGTGGAAAAAACAAGAGGGAGTAACTGTGCCAAGTCTTTCAGTGACTAAACTAATTTGGTCACTGGAACATTTTACCAGCGACCATTAGTCGGTCGCTGAATATGCAGCGACCAACATTTGGTGGTTGCTAAAAATGACAACCAGCGACCACATAGTGGTCGCAAAAAGAGTACCGAAAAAAAATTTCAATTTTAGCAGACCAACACCCTGCACCGACCAATTTATGGTCGGTGAAAGTATATTACAGCAACCACTTTTTTATGGTCACTCAAGCATTGGTCGCTGGAGCCCATTTTTTTTGTAGTGATAATTGGTAATCCCAGTTCCTACATGGCCCCCAATATCTAAGTTCATTTTTTTTTTTGTTAAATTTATCTTCACCCATAAATTTCATAGAGATAATGAATTCAAATATATTGTAAATTATTTCAAATAGTGTTAATCGTGTCCAAGAAACTCTCGACTTGAAAGTTATATCTACTTGTTGAATTGGTTTTTCAATACAACAAGACCAAAAGAAAAGTTTTTACAAGAAATATGGGCCTATCATGCAAGCTGATAGGAACTCTCAATTTCTTATTTCGTTGCTAATTCTCTTAAACAAAAGTTTCTAGAAAACTAACCTTTAAACAAAAATAAAATCTTGAAATTGAAGTATAAATAGAGGCTTAGACTTGACCTTCAACCTGCAAAAATTGGGAAAGTTTTTACAAGAAATATGGACCTCTCAAGCATGCTGATAGGAAATCTCAATTTATTGCTTCGTTGCTACTTCTCTTAAACAAAAGTTTCTAGAAAACTAACTTTTAAACAAAAATAAAATCTTGAAATTGAAGTATAAATAGAGGCTTAGACTTGACCTTCAACCTACAAAAATTGGGGGAAAAAATGAATCTTAACCAAAGCTTAAAAAGTTTACATAAAAGGCAATGCCTCTATAATTGGTAATTCTAGTTCCTATATGGCTCCCATCATCTAAGGCACCGTTTGATAGGCACCAATTTTTTGGAGAAAATATAATTAGAATGTCAATTTCCAACTTTTGTGTGTTTGATAGTGTTATATTTTTCATGGAAATTAAGTTTTTGGATTTCTTGGGAGTTGTAGTTTTCTAGCTTTTGTGGGAAATGGTGGGAATTGATTTTCTAGGTAGTTCACTTTTTTTTTTTTTTTGGCAATGGAAACAAATTCTAAGAATTATTGTAAAAAAATGGTTCCCTTTAATCGACAATTTTCATGTAAAACAAAACCAAATGAACACCAAAAAATAGTTGATTTTCTTGGATTTTATTTTTATTTTTTATTTTTTTTGCAATGGAAACAAATTTTATCCCTAATTTCAGTAAATTTCATCCATTTAATTGACAGTTTTTATATAAAACAAAGCCAAACGAACACAAAATTACACTTTTATTTCAACATTTTTCACGTGAAAAATCATACCAATCAAACACAATAATTTAAAATTCTCAGGGAAACAATTTCTAAACAATTCAATTCCCTGGAATTCGTTTTCTTTACACCCAAATTCCATCTTTGCAATCAACCTGACCCTAAGTTTCTTTTCTTGTTTGTTTGTTTGTTTGTTTTTATTTATCTTCATCCATAAATTTCGTGGAGATAATGAATTCGAATGCATTTTTATAGTTACTTCACATGGTGTTAATCGTGTCACACTCTCGACATGAAAGTTATGTCTACTTGTTGAATTGGTTTTTCAATACAACACGACCAAAAGAAAAGTTTTTACAAGAAATATGGGCCTCTCAAGCATGCTGATGGGAACTCTCAATTTCTTGCTTCGTTGCTACTTCTCTTAGACAAATGTTTCTAGAAAACTAACCTTTAAACAAAAATAAAATCTTGAAATTGAAGTATAAATGGAGGCTTAGACTTGACCTTCAACCTACAAAAGTTGGGGGAAAAAGTGAATCTTAACCAAAGCTTAAAAAGTTCACGTAAAAGGCAATAGCCTCTATTGGTAATCCCAGTTCCTATATGGCTCCCATTATCTAAGTTTATTTTTTTTAAAATTTATCTTCATCCATAAATTTCATGGAAATAATGAATTCGAATGTATTATATAATTACTTCAAATAGTGTTAATCGTGTCCAAGACACTCTCGACGTGAAAGTTATGTCTACTTGTTAAATTGGTTTTTCAATACAGAATGACCAAAAGAAAAGTTTAAAAGAAATATGGGTCTCTCAGAGAAGTTATATTTATCATATCACGATCATCATCAGAGACATCTATGTATTCGGGATTCATGTTCCATGCGATCACTTCCACAGTCAAATTTAATACTCAACGCGGTAATTAATATAAACATGAATAAGCATATAATTGCAGTAAATATACAGATAAGATCTCATCTGAAGATAGAATTAATGAAATGATAAAAGAAAAGGATACGTTTTTAATGAAATGGAGTGACTAAGGCTACAAAGAGATAAAGAAGAAACAAAAAGGGATCACACCTTTGGAAGAAGAAGCGCCATCACCACGAGGGCGAAGCTTCATTGTTGATGTGAAGTAAAATGGGGAAAAACGCAATTGTTTCGCGCGTGTTAGTCACTAACAATTAAAAGAGATCAGACGATTGTGTAAGGGACAAACCTCTTGAGACAAAGTCCCAAAAAGGGGGGTTTTTTATTGGCGATGACTTTACAATCGGAAATTAAAAACAGAATGCCTCCAAGGGGCGCAAGCACACGAGTTACTGAAAGAAGTGTTTAAATCTAAGCTAAGAAATTTAAAATTACATGTTCTCTGTTCGAGAGTTTTTGATTCTGTCCCTTTGCTCTATGTCCTTCCTTCCTTTTATATTCGTTAGATGATCTCTTTGTGATCAACCGCCTAAAAACTGTTGGATCGTTCTATAACTGCCCATTTTCCTTGTAATGGCCAACTTGTTATGGAACTACCTTTTCTAACTGCTGTCATTACTCTTTGTCGTTCAACCGTCTTCAATTAAGTTCCTTGAATCGTGGAACGTGATAGGGCTACTTTAATAACTGCTTTGATAACTCCACTTCTTGATAACCACAACACTTTATGTTTTCTAAGACCTTGGGCGACTCGAAGGTTTGGGCGAGAATAGAGTAACAGCTCTGGGCGACTGCATGGCACTTCATTCGCTCAGATTCTGGGCGACTTGCAAATTTAGGCGATGGTGTTACCGCGTTCTTGGGCCTTCCCATTTGGGCCTTCATCTTGAATTGTTTGTTTGGGC